ATTTTATTAGACGAAGTTTTAGTGATATACATTTTGATTTATTGAATTTTGATTTTAAACATTTGAAATTATATGCAAGAGAATTGATGGCCTTTATTAATGGCAATAGACATGCGATTGGGGTTTTTAACTAAGTTCGTTTTATTTTCAATGTGCTTATTTTAGGATGTCTTTTTCGTCGTGTTTTAAGGATATGTGTGACTGTATGTCATATTTTCGTTGTGGTTTATGTGTGTTTTCCTTCCTTATTTTATGTTATCATTTTTACTAACACAGTTTTCTTGATTTAGTTATTTTTGGTTTTCTTCTTTCCTGTTGTGTCGTTAATCTAGCCATTTAAAAAAAATAGAATTATATAGTTGTGTGGCAACCTTGCTGGATGTATAATTGTTATTTTCTTTGGTTGATTATACTAACATTTTTAGTTACTCGGAATACCGGGCTTGGTTTCTTGGAGCTTTGAATTTTAAGTTAAATGCTAAAGTTGCTTCGTGTATAATATCTTGGATTAGTTGTTCTTTTTTCATTAATCTGGCGTTTTAACTTTTATTGGGGGATTCTCCGGGTCGCTGGCTGCCTTCGCTTGTGGTGTAAATTGGACGCCCCTTTTTGGACCACAAAATCACTTTGTGATCAGGCGGGTTGGGGCGTTCTAACACACAAACACAAAAAAAAAAAAAAAAAAAAAAAAAGGGGGTGATAATATTGGGTAGCAACAATTTGGAAAGTGAACCGTCATTTAAAGTTGCCAACGCAACATGCCAAAACGAAATTAATAGCGCTTCTGGGCTAAAAATATATATATTTAACCTTATTTTTGTGCTTGGAAAATCTGTTCAGAATAACTATTCTTAAAATGTAAACTGTACAGCTTATTCTGTATCTCTTACGCATCGTAATAAATTATAGCTTCCTATTTAATTACACTTTATAAAACCGCTTTCATAGAAGAAATGGGGTCAGATATTGAAAAATTCAATCGAAAAATTTTGAAAAATAAATCTGATGTCACCTACTTACTCTATCAGCACTTCCTAGAAAGAGAAAGAATAGTCGTCAAAAACAGTCACGCATGTATCAAAGTAAGTATATAACTTGCACCGAAAGATATTTAAAATAAGTTCTCATTCACAGGAGTTGAGTTGCGTGCGTGCTGACTTAATTAACTTTCTTTAAAAGTAGAAGGCATAATTTGTGTCTTAATGCATGCTTTTCGATGAAGATCAGATAGAATGGGATAAATAATTCAATTATTAAGCAATTAGGTAAAATTTTTGTCTGCGTGTACAAAGCCAGACGTGTGATATTTCCGATATGGTATTCAAAAAGGCAACTTATATGTCTTTATTCAAAAATAAAAATTATACTTAAGTTTTTAATTGTATCCTTGGGCCACAAAGAGGCATATGAATTTTTTTCCGAAACTTATTATAAAAAAAAATAGGGGAAGTAAAATTTAAAAAGCTTCAGGTATCTTAGCTTTTTGGTTTAAATTTAACATGAATCGTAATTGAAAATCCGATTTCAATGATATGAATTTTGAAAGGATATTCGTAAAAATTCAAACTTACTAAACTCGGAATATACTGCAGTATGACATGCAAGCCAGAAAAACCTGGCATTAAAATTTTGCTTGGATTTAAAAATTAAATAACATGAGTAACAAAAAAAAAAAAAAAAAAAAAAAAAAGATTTTATATTACATCCAAAGGGGTTTTTTTTTTAACGTATTTTTGTGTTACCTTTATTTATTAAATATGTTTTTCGCACTTAAACCTTAAAATCAGTTGAGCAATATCACAAAATTATTTGAAAAGGGCATATCTTTAGAATTTCCGATACAGTCTCTCGCGCTCGAAATAAAAATGTTTTTTTTTTTTTTTTTTTTTTTTTTTTTTTTTTTTTTTTGTACAGTGTTGCCATTGCTCGTTTTGAAATCGTTTAGTTTGTTAATCAAAAATTCGTTAAAAGTTTTACAAAATACGAAATAAATAATAAAAGAAAATCCAAATTTGGGCTTCCAGATGCTCATATTCGGGTGGAAACGTACGGTATTCAAAATTGGATGATTCTAGGTACTTTTGTTTTATCACAATGCGAGAAAAATATGTACATTTATGCAGATTCTTCATTATTTAATTTCTTTAAATTTAATACAGGGCTGTAATATTGTGTGGCAACAATTTGAAAAGGGAACCACCGACTTTTAAAGTTTTTAACGCAAAATGCCAAAACGAGATTAATAGCCCATTGGGGCTAACGCCCTTAGGGCTAAAAATTTTCACTTGCAATAATGACCTGGACTGAATTTTCCTGTTGTTTGGATTAGTGATGGTTTCGGTAACTAAGTAACTAAACTGCGAATTAAATGAGTCATATTTCTTAATAGAAAAGCAAACTCGGAGGATTAAAATGAACTCTGTGGAATGCAACGAAAAATTAATTTCATAAGTTTCGATTTGCTAAACGAAGATGCTGCTAGGTTACGAAACAGGCTTTTAGGTTTTTCTAGTGCAGAATGCATTTTAACAGAATACTACAAAAATCCGTTAAAGCATAATATGAATGAAAGGATTTTCCGCTTGGTTCAGTTGAAATGAAGAGATGCAGAGATACGTAAAGAAATCCATATCAAAAATTCAAAAGAGACGTTTCTTTTTCTTCGTGAATTATACATACGAAAAATATATTACCATTTTCCACGGTGCAAAGAAATGGCGTGGAACCAACTGTTCGAACAACGTTAATGATAATAATTTCGTAAGAATATTTGCGATCTTTTATTCTGATTACCGGGCACTAGTTACATAGTTTAGCAAAGGATAAACTTCGGTATATTATTTCTAGTAAGGTTCGAATATTTTAGACCCCATTTTATATCATACTTGTCCATTCATTCGAAGCAAATTAAAGGGAATTTTATCCAACATACCGTTTGATTATGGCTTAGTGGAATATATTTGATTTCGGAGCTGCCTCTGATGTATTCGAGGTTCATTTTATAATGCACCATCATTTGAAAACTTATTCTGAAATTAAGTGGTGTATTATAGAGCGTAACGCATTAAGTGAAGCTGAAAGCAATTTCTTTTTTTTTTACTTCTTGGGATAAGAATGCATTTTGTTAACTTTTTATCGACTTGTGCATTCAATGCATAAATTGCATTGAATGCTATCTTAAATCCCATATTCAATTCGTTATAAACATTTTCGGGAAGAGATGCATTAGAGGAATTCATAACTGGACACCGGCTCGTACTCGAATTATCAATTATCAGCACTCTCAACCCCCCCGGACCTTTGGTGGGAGGACGTCGTAAGGTAAAATGTTGAAAAATACAATCAGAAAAATTATTTTATGAAAGATTAGTTTATTATTATTTAAGAAATGCCACTGCGTCAAATTTTATAGATCAATGCTTCAATGAAATATGAAAAAAAATATTTAGAATTTGTTTCCATATGATGTGAGTGATAAGAGTTGAATTTGTTTTCCCACATCGTTCAAAATTTCACACCTGCAAGGAATAGATTCCTTCTTTATGAAAAATTTCACGTTGTATAAAATATTTGTGTTATAATTATTCAAATAATATTGTCAAATAAAAAATACTTGTAGTATATCTTATTAAATGGTTTACGTCAGCGGTTCTCAACCTTTTGACTAGCGCGTACAACCTAAACAAAAACTTAAAACTTACCACTACATTCTACAATGAATAGTTTTCAATTTCTGAATAGGAATATTAAAAAAAATATTTTGCTATTTGCACAGCGTATTGGCTATTTGTATTAAACATGCACACATAAAAAATATTAAATTAAAAATGGATTAGTATTTTAATTATCAAAATTTAAGTTATTTTAATATTTTAATTCTAAAATTTTGTGCGAAATCTGGGCGTGTTTTAAGTGAGATGAATTTGTTTATGTTTGGCTTTATTTCACTCAGTTTTAACCGTAAATTAGGATCCACTTTTAATTTTATTCTTTATTTATTTTTCAAATATAACATGGAAGAATATCCTTGTTCGCACAAGTAGGTTGTGCAAATTGTGAATAAAAATTTACTAGCTTTATTTGAAATGCCTTTACTATTTTTTTCGTTCAGCTAAAAGTTAATAATGGTGTTAATTTTGAAATCTTCAGTTAGAATTCGATCATCGGAAATTTCTATCGATTGTTCTTTCTCTTCACGAGACTTTTGTATTGAATAGTAAACAAGTAATATAAAAATTTGATTTTAAAGTCAATTCTTACTTAGGTCAAAAAAGAAAAATTTTCAAATACAAATTTTTTTTATTAAATTAAAAAATTTTAAAATTTTTAATATGTGAAAAAATTGTATTAACATCAAGTGCCATCCACTAGAAGTTAAAAAAAATTTACTTTAACTTGAGTGGACGAATAAAAAGTATTTTATTAACGATTGAAAATTACTTAATTAGTTAAAAAAATTAAAGTAAATTCCTACTTAGGTCAACAAAGAAAATTTTAAAATACAAAAAAGAGTTTAATATGTGAAAAAACTGCATTAACATCAAGTGTCATCCACTACAACTTTAAAAAAATGTATTGGAACTTGAATGGATGAATAAAAAGTATTTTATTAACGATTGAAATTTAATTAATTAAATAAATTTTTTAAAAAAATTAAGTAATTTGCTACTTAGGTCAACAAAGAACAATTTTAAAAATGCAAAAAAGATTTTTTTAATTAAAAATTTGTAATATGTGAAGAAACTGTATTAACATCAACTGCAAATTTAAAAAAACATATTTGAAGTTGAGTGGATGAATAAAAAGTATTTAAAAAAATAATCCTTCGTGTTTCACCGAACTCAGCCTTCCGGAAATTATCACCTTAAGCTGTTACCTATTGCACGTACTACAAACTCTTCCCCAATTAAAAGCTGATTAAACGAACGCCGCCAAAACGCAGAAACTGCGGCGAAGAAAATTGGCGACACACTTCAAGACTATGATTGTTCTAATGGCGGCAACCCCAATTTATAGGAGAGCAGAACCATTTGTAAGCGCACGTTTCGCGGTCAGCTTTTTAGGGCTGGTCCGTTTTGAAAAATCACTCGTAGCCATTCGATCAGACCGGACGAGAGAACCTGAGAAAAATGAAGATAATACTCGGGATATGGGTAAGTGTTCTCATATTTAAAGATTTTTTTTTTTATTCAATGCACCACTTAAGTGAACAATCACTTGAGTGCCCTTTTCATTGCCTTTTATGTGGATATAATTGCTTTTACTTCTAAAGAGAAGAATCTAAAAAATTCCAATAACCAGATGACCCATGATTATACTGCGGAAGTTAAATAATGTTGTAAATGAGTGCAATAAATTACTTCTTATTGTAGATACTTAAAACGTGTTTTGCTGTCCTGAAGAAAGATACTTAAAAACTTACGGAAACACATGTGGCATACAATACATATATTTTCTAAAAATAATTAGCCCAGAAGGGCTATTAATTTTGCTTTGGTATTTGGCGTGAAATTTAGAATTTGTTTTATTATCGATTTTATATTGAAAAACTTCAACGAATTTTTTATTAACAAACTTAAGTATTTCAAAGTGATCCATGGCAACGTTGTACAGAAAATAACATTTTTACCTTCAGCGCGTGAGACTGTGCATTGAAAATTCTAAAGATGGGTTAAATTTAAAATTATTTTGCGATATTGCTTTCGAACTGAATTTTATAGTTTAAGTACTAAGAACACGATATTTAATAAATAAAGGTAGCACAAATAATGTTAAAAAAAGCCCTTCCGACGAAATTTAAAATCTCGAACTTTTCAGATTTTCTTTAATTATTATTAATTTTTGAATTTTTAGATGCTAACGTTTAAACTTTATTTTACCGTAATGACTTTTGAAACACTACAGTTCTTCTCAAACATTTTCAAGTAATACATCGAGTTTAAATTTAAATGAAGGAACAAGAAGTGAAGTGTGAAACATATATAGTTTGATTCGTGTGTTTATTAAACGTTTTTGATTTTTTATAGTCTGAACCTACTGGAGTTAATCTCGAAATACGATTTTGAGCTAATTTAGTTTTCATTCGAGCGTGTTGCCATTCCGCAAAATGTAAGTTATTTCTTTTTCAAATGGAATCTGTCGGTAATCGATAAATAAACCAAGCTATTTAAAAACGATAGACGCAGTTCTTAAGAATATTTTTTTTTTTTTTTTTTAGTTTTTAATCTCACGCACTTACATTAAAATGCATTTAATTCGAGATATGTATAATTAAGAACATTAAATATTTCAAAAGAAATATGCTATATATTTTTCACTTTTCAATATGAGAAAGATATATAACGTTCCTATTTCATACTAAATGTATATTCATTTAGCATGCTATAAAATATTTCGCAGTACTTCCTGGACCATCTCTGTTCTTAATCTGCACCGAAAACTATGTTAAACTTTAAAACATCCCCTTTTCAGCGACCATTTAAAATCTGAATCCTATCAGATTTTTTTTTCTTATTTTTCTCGCTTTATATTGATATAATTTAATATTGATATTAATTAAATTTGTTTTCAGCTTTTACATGATTTGATTTTACTTTCAAATATACACTTTTTTACGTATATTTAACGCATTTGTTCATTTATTGTCTATTTTAAGCTTCGGCTTCATTTAACTTAATGTTCAATTTATCGAATTTAATTGTACATGGAAACAAAGAAGACATATTGATACGTGACACATTTCCCAATTTGAAGCATCTGCATTTGTAATTTTTTTGAATTTTTATGATTATTATTGACCTGAATTAAGTTTTTAGATTTATAATTGCTAAATTTGCTTTTTATAATCTAGTGTCTATTTTAAGTTTTTGAAGATCGCTCCGAAATACTTTAAGGCCCACCAGCGGCCGAGCGGTAAAGTCGCTGAACACTGGTAGTTCGGTCCGAGGTTCGAATCCTGCGAACGGGCTGGCTGCATGGGTGTTTTCGTGGTTTTCCCCATGTGTAACGTGTATACGAGCCAGTTTCCCTTAGAAAGTCCTCCACGAAAGGCATCCCTCCCCTTTGGCAGATAGCCCTAGTGTGCTTTGCCGTAATTAAATACACCACACCACACCACCGAAATACTTTATGCAGTTTCATTTAACTTTAATTATAACAGATCAAACTTAATTGAAAACGTAAAAGAAGATGCGGAACATGACAATTAGTGTAGTTTAAAGTTATTTGTCTGTAAGGTTTTATGAATATTATTGACGTTAATTAAAGTTTTAATATATTTTACACTCGTGTTTAAGTTCAAAACATTAACATATAACAATATTTGAAAACAACAAAATTTGTTTCTAAATATTGCTGTTTATATCTGCCAAATTTGTCATTTTCTTATTCAGTATCTATTTTAAGTTTTTGAAGGTAGTTCAGAAATACATTATGTATACTGCTCGGAAAGCATATAAGCATTATCGCGCCACGCACATGGGGAAAATCCCTCCTCGTGATTGGATTGGGCTTCCGATGACATCATTTCTTCTACAATTACGAGCGCCCACCAGCGGCCGAGCGGTAAAATCGCTGAATACTGGTAGTTCGGTCCGAGGTTCGAATCCCGCGAACGGGCTGGCTGCATGGGCGTTTTCGTGGTTTTCCCCATGTGTAACGTGTATACGAGTCAGTTTCCCTTAGAAAGTCCTCCACGAAAGGCATCCCTCCCCTTAGGCAGATAGCCCTAGTGTGCTTTGCCGTATTCTCAATACACCAACAATTAGGAGCGCCTTGACTTTGCTTGGACTCGATGATACATCTCCATATCGTTTGTTTACGTTTTGATAGCAGTACCGAAATGATTTTTGTTGCTATGAGATTACACGTCTTACAGCACTGTTGTGTGGTGAATTTAACATAAAAAAAATCTGATGTATACACTACATGACTTCCTTGTACGGAATATTAAATTATACGCATTTTTTATTGCATTTCGTTTAAACTTATTGGATTGAATTAAATCTACACTGGTGTGCAAAAATTAAGGACGAGACGGTTTTTTCAATATAACTTTGTACAAAAGCTTTCCAAATCAACACATTAAATACCGTAAAATCCCCAATACGTAAGGACATGAGTAATGTAAGCAACACTTACTAAAAGAGAAATCAGAGGGATAAAAAGAAGCTTTATTGAAAAAGTAGCATGGAGCGCAATGCGACTGAAGGCCGAAACATCCCTGTGATGGGTGTCCAGCAAGAAACATCCGGTCTTTAATAGGGGATATGATCTCCCCTGACTGCTAGGCAGGTTTCACAGCGTCTGCCCATGCTGAGAATGAGGGTGTCAATGAGTTGTTGAGGCATTGCTGCCCATTCGTCTTGCAGCGCCAATCGAAGCTCCGGAATCGTTACTGGTGGTAAGGTACGAGCTGCCAAGCGTCTGCCTAGAAAATCCCATACATGCTCGATGGGATTGAGATCCGGAGATCGTGCCGGCCAATCCATACGTTCAATATCCTCACTCTCTAAGAGCTGTTCGGCAGCTACTGTGCGATGACATGGTGCATTGTCGTCCATGAAAAGGAACTGCGGACCCATAGCGCCTCTAAAAAGACGCACATATGGAAGAAGAATCTCGTTACAATAACGGGTCCCGTTGACTGAACCTGCGTCGAAGATGTGAAGGTCTGTACGACTACCAAGCATGATGCCTCTCCAAACGAGAACACCGCCACCTCCATACCTGTCCCTTTCAATGATGTTCGAAGGATGATTGCGGCTTCCCCGCTCTCTCCAGATGAGTATGCGATGAGAATCGCTACTCAGACTGAATCTGCTCTCATCTGTAAAGAGTACTCGTCCCCATTCATTGCCTCTCCAATTCCGGTGTTCCCGGCACCCCAGAGAACGCCTTCTCCGATGGGCAGGCGTTATAGGTACACACCGTACAGGCCGTCGTGCAAACAGACCACCACCGTGCAGTCTTCTAGCCACGGTAAAACGCGATATTGGTCGTAAAAAGATGTATCCTCAAAAAGGATGCGCTGAAATCCTTGATGAAAAGTGTAAGTCGGTGTAAATTAGTTCTGACATAATCCAAACATGGATTTAAAGGTAAACAGTTATTTAGCAACAGTTTACTCTAATCAGTACATTGTTAATCCATATTTGAAGTATGACGGAAATTTGAACCCCCTTTTTTTTTTTTTTTTTTTTTTTTTCACAGAAATGCTATTGTAATTTCTATACTCAAAACAGAAAATGAAAACCTGTTGCTTTCCGCTCCAAAGACCACAGAACTAACTCAACATGAAAGAAAAGTCTCTGAAAGAAAGTTGAATTTTTTTAGAGAGCCTGGAAAAGTTCTTTTATGTTGAAAAAAGTGACAAGAATCAACCGCAGAAAATTGATTAATGTTACACCGAACCTTATATGCAAGATTTTTATCTTTATCAGCTGCGATTTCTATTTGCAAGGACATAGAATATTGTCAAGTTTGACTTTAATACTTATTTAAACTTTCCTATTTTAAGTGTTTTCTTTTAAGTACACAAATATACGGCTGCGATTTCGATTTGTTGTTGTCGAGTTTGTGGAATTTGACTTTAATACAAGTCTTCTTTAAGTTCCTGCTTTTAGAAATCGCTTCAGATATTAAGCAGAATTCTAAATTTGGTACTTATGGAGCATTCAATCTCTCGTTTTTCTTTTTATGTAATTCTGCGAATTCAGATATATTTTAAAAGTAAAATAATGAAAAATTATTCTTCCAAGATGATTAAATCATTAAGCATTTTAATACCAAGCCAAAAATTCAACTTTGATTAACTTGAGAACAAAATCTGAAGACCGTTACGGTGCGTCAACGAAACTACGTCACCAATAGATTTGCAGTTACACTGCAGTAACCTAGCAGCACCGTCCCCGTTTTTGAGCCCCCGAGTTTACCGAGAAACCCCCGAGAAACACGACATTTTTATCAGAAAATATGGAAGGCGCCAAAACTATTCACGAACAAAAGTCTGATTTTTACATGTACTTAGTCGCTTGTAATCTTTCAATGTACATATTTGTTACTAATCTGAACATCTTAATTCGGTCAAGAAATGAGTGCATATAAAAAAAACTAGCATATGTAACCCTAGCTTAGATATTCCTGTGGATTAATA